ATCCAAAAGATTTCTAAGTACAAAGAAACCACTTGTATTTCTAATTTTAAAAATAAAATAAAATAATGGTGCTACATATTGCTAACAATCATCTTGTCTAAGGTGACAACCTTCAACACTTGGAACTATTGTGTGGTCATATTAAAGAGATTTCATAGTTCTTGGAACCTTCTGCCAACAACATATAAGTACAGAGATAAATATTTAAATTATTTTCAGCCTTTTTCATGGGATTATTTTAAAATCCAGAAAAATACTTTATATCCAAAAACAATGAGAATAAATATTTTATCAATCAACATCACATAACACTAGGCATACATATTTTCTTTCCTTCTTTAAGTCAAAACTTAAAAAATATATACATATGCATGTAAGACATAAAATATTATAGCTGCTTTAAAAATAATTGAAGATCTCAAAATTAAAATTCTAGATTTGGTGCTCTCCACCTACATTCATCGCTTCTCCCAAATTCGAGATCCTTCTATGTTATGTAACAACCTCAAATTAACCAATCATAGCTTGTCTATGCAATTACATCAGACTTGGTGTAAATACTCTTGGCACAATAAACTATGTCACTTCATTGCTTTTCTCAGCTTCCCTGAAGCTAACATCCACACTGCTTTGCTTCCCCCTTCTAAAATGCTTACTTTTTTTTTTTTTTTTTTTTTAACCAATGCACATAGAAGTTTATCATATTTAATTATAATTAAATAAGTGTCTGCCAAACTAACTGTACATGTGTGAAAATAAAGATTGGTGATTTATCGAAATCCAATTTGTCATCTTCATCTGTATGCCTTAACCATAAGCCGAGACGGATGCAAGCCGATTCCTCCTACACAGTAAATTATGACAACATATAGCCAGACAGGATTGGATTATGTGCTACTAACCTCAATGGAACATTTAATCCTCAGCTGGATTTCTGTAAAATAGTATCTGCAAGTTCATCATTCTAAAAGTTAGATATCATCAAGTATTCAAATATGGTGTGCTTTATTTTGCAAATTCTTCAGAAAAAGTGTGTGGAACACCCAATGCAGAGTTTATTCAGCACTGAATATGCAAATTCAAAATTCCACCATCATTTAAATGATGGATAAAATAAAAAAAAAAAAAAAAAAAAAAAGTGTTCATCACTACTTGAATTACGAATCAGGCCAAGGTTACTGTAACATGGAAATATAATGCGTGAACAGCGTTATAGGCAAAGTGTTTTTCAACAAGTATGAAAGTGATTTAATGGTGCAAAAGTGCTTATCTTATTGGGAAAGTGAAATATTATCAAAACTGGTATCGAAATGTGATTAATTTCTTTGGTTCCAAATTAAATGTTCAAAGTTATTTTCATTGAGGGAATCAAGTGACGATATAGGGGGGAGGGGAAAAAAACACATTTTGATGTTATGCGATAAAAAAGTTTTTTGAGTTTCTCTCCAAATGCATCACTATAAATAACTTACTCAACAATTGGTTACATTTTGAAATCTGAAAATATAGTATTTACTTAGAATAATGATTTTAATTCGATGGATTTAAAAAAAAAAAGAATAGCACTGCTTTTTGAAAATATCAAATTAAAATATATAAGTGTTCTAAGATTTTATTCAGGGAAGATTATTAATTTTATTAAATTTTATTGTTATTAGTAAGTATACGTCAAAATCTTGAATTTGTCAAAAATTTTGAATTAATGTTAAGATTTTAGAATATTTTGAGAATGATGCGTATATGAAATAAAAAGAAATAATTATTTATTAAGAGAATATTAAATAGTATTAAAATTAATATAAAAATACCAAAGATTGACTTAGTTATAAATACTCTTGGCGCAATAAACTGACACTTTATTCCTTTTCCGCTACACCAACGTCCACGCTGCATTGCTTCCCCGTCTAAAATGCCTACGTCTTATTTAAAAAAACAAACAAACAATGCACATAGAAATTATCATATTTAATTATGGTTAAATAAGTGTCTGCCAAACTAATTGGATAGGTGTGAAAATAAAGATTGGTGATTTATTGAAATCCAATTTGTTATCTTCATCTGTATGCCTTAATCATAAACTATGACGACTGCAAGCTGATTTCTCCTACACAATAAATTATGACATGCATATATACAATAGAGTCAAATGAAGCTAAATAATTTTAAAAGTCTAATATAAACATTAGAATAAACATTGTTAAAATTATTATGATTAGAAAATTATGAATAATCAGTATTAACAATTTTATAATGAAACTAATTACCTTTGTCTGATTATTTTGACCAAACAAAGAAGTTCCAGTAGATGCACCAAAATTGAAAACTGGAGCAGCAGATGTCGTAGCAGTACCAAAGCCTACAGATTTTCCAAACAATCCAGTATTCTGGGTTTGAGCAGGCTGACCAAACAAACCACCTGATCCAAATGTATCTAGATAAAAATGCTTCAATTACAAATAACATGGCTATTGGGTTGTACAAAAATTTCATTCATTGACTTCGATCCCACAAAAAGGTTCTAGCAGGGTTTAATTGCCTTACTTCATTGAAAACAATTCTGTTAGACTGTACTGCGACAGTTGTCAACAAGTATGTTAAAAACTTACCAAAATTGATACATTTTTGTGCAGAAATTTTTATACTGAAGGTGGAAAAAATTAAATAATATTTTTTGCATATTTAGCATTATTATTTAAAGGAAGATAAAAATGCGAGTGAATAAAAAAGATTTGTGTAATGTATGGTAAAGTTACTTTGATAATGAATATTATATGCAAATTATGAGAAATTTCATGAAGATTTCTCATTAGCATATCTAAAGGTAATGAACAGCCTAGTTAAAGTTGATAGTAATCAAATCAAGACATTAATTGAGAATAATTAATGTCAAATCAAACAAAAGGTACCTAACATATCAAAAACATCAAAATCAAGCAACTGAATTAGTTATTCTATAAAAGTTAAACACATAAAAATCTTCTTGGCCATATTTCCACTTGTAATTCTTATTAAAACACATGAAAATTATTTTGTTAAAAAAAGTGACAGATACTGAACAAACATTGTTGGGTACTTAATCATAACATGGAACAGAAAATAATGACAGGAAAGTAAAAAATGAAACTTCATCAACTTAAGGTTGGTCTTCATCCAAAGTAGGCGATATATGTACTCGTATATGGTGGGGATGATAAGAAGTTTTCTACATGAATTCTTTCTAGAAAATTAAACAATCAATTCTAAAAAGTACTGTTCCTAATCAGACCCAGAATTAGTTAAAACAAAATGCAAACACTTCCATCAGCAAAATGCAAGTGTGTTTAATTCTTTGGTGACCAAGAAAAACTGTAACAGTTCAGCATGGAGATTTCCATTCACCCACTATATTCCTACGATATTATAGTTCTCTGCTCTCTGAATTATAGTTCTCTCTTCTCAAAGTTCTCTGAATAGAAAAACTTTTTAATTTTGTGAAACACTACAAACAGAACAGGGAACTGTTCTATTCTCAAAATGGTATTAAAGTTCTGTTCAACAAAGTTATTTGTGAAAAATGAAAATGCATCTTAATTTCATTTTAAAAAAAAATATTTAAATATTAATTTTATTACTATTTTTATTTACAGGAATTTTTAGGCCAACCTGATGGAATAACATACAGTAAGACCCCGCTTAACGCGGGGGATTCGTTCCATCAAAGTAGAGCGTAATGCGAAACAGCGCTAAACGAGGCTATCTTAACATGTAATTAATGGAGTTAGGGGAAGATGGATAGAAATTTGGTTAGGTATTAAATTTGATAATGTTTTTTTTAATAAAAATAAAACCAAACATTTATTTATTACAAAAATAAAAACAATATAAACGAAATTACTTTAAAAAACAATAAAATTTAAGCCAGTCAGATCATTCAGTCTATTGTGTTTCCAATTTTCTGCCTTTTGTCAAGAAGGCTTATGATAGATTGGCTTAATGGCATACTGCGTTCAATTTCGTTCTCAGTCCTATAGACAGCGTTTTTCCACTTCCTCTATAATGTTATTTCTAGAACGGGTACTCCTAGTTGCAGAGCTTGACGTATTTGCAGTTGGCCGATGACAGTATTTTTTTTCTTTATTCTTAGAATGTCCTTATTGTTGAAGTGCCAAATTCAATGCAGCACTAATCTTGAGATGACTCCACCAGAATCTAATCTTCTAATCACTTGCATTTAAGTTTCCAGTGAAATGCTTTTTCTGGTTGCTTTCTTTCTTGTTTTTATTATCACCCATGATAAAAACTAAAGATCATATATTTGTCACGGTATAATCGTTAGTATTATATAAATTTATCTTACAATAATGTTAACAGATGTTTCAAATGATAAAAATGCTTCCGTACAGCACCTCACCGCACCAAACAAGAAACATAACTACAAAGTTTCGGATATGTTATTTGGAAACCTACTGCTGCGAACAATTTCGAGGAATCCCCGTACTTCATGCTGCGAACAATTTCGGGGAATCCCAAGGTTGAAATAAAAGAGCGCTAAACCGAAACAGCGTTAAGCGGGGTCTTATTGTATCTATATTATATTAAAATTTTAAAAAAAAGTTAACACTTTTCTAGGAATATAATTTATTCAATATCGAAGATAATATAATATTTGGCATAATGTGGAAAAGTGACTTATGTTGATGATGATATAACAATTATTTTTAAAAAAATTTATACCTAAGCATTTGTGCCAAAAACGAAATTACACATACATCTGTTAAATGTCTTCAAAAATGTATTGCTGACAGACTTTATGCATAGTATTCTAATTTGTGCTTTTGATAAATGCAAAAAAACAAAAGCTAAAAAACATCCAATGCAGGAAATTGATTGCCTTCATCAATGTCTTTGAATGAAGAATAATTAAAACTAATTAACGTGGGTATTAAAACTAATAATTTGAGTATCCACTGAAAATTGCTCTGCAATTTAATATACCACTATTATTTTATGATAAAATAGTAAATATACTGCTTGACTACCCACCGTGTAACCCTGTCTGGCATATTACCAAAAAACTGCGACCAATCTAGCACTGGTGACAACCACAACATCCATATGTAGAATAACTGGGAATATACAGGATGTTAAAATATGTTTTTAGCATTTATTGATGTATTTGTCTGTTTAAAGCATGTATTGATTACTTTGATCTCTTATTTTTAATTTGAATGTACTTGTAAGTATTGATGAAAACTCAAAATCTAAACAAAATATCCAGAGCGTTTCATAAATGAAATAAATGCTTCTTTTTAGTCTTTAAGAACAGCATACTTATTTTTATATAACTTTCATACTTATTTGTTACATATTACCTATTTTTAACATAAAAATAGCATAACAAGATTTTAAGGAATAAGGCTTATGCAACAATTTTTATGAAACGCTCAAAGTAACAACTTTTTGAATTCAACTCGTTGTTCCCACACTGCGAATCTTAATAACTATGAAAAAACATTGAATCATGTTTCCACTAAAATCTTAATAATTATATAAAAACATTAAATTATATTCCACTACATACTTATATATTCAGCAAGACAAAAAGGGCAAAACTATTTTGTAAACAAACCAGATAAAATTGCTCACATCTGCTTATGCTTCTGATAATGCTAGCCATAGATTAAAAAATTTTCACAAAATGAAAACGGGGATACTTTTATTGATAATACAGATAAATACTTGTTATCTATCTCTAAATGTGGTTAGATCCTACAATAGTAAAATACATAAGACATTTTCCTGATTTGGATATTTTACAATTCTAGTATCCAAAAATAGTTTTAACAAACTATTTCCTTTTACTAAATGTCCCATTTAAATGTGATGCTGGCACAGCATACGCACAAGTTTGAGTCATTTCACTAATGGGATCTGAGTTTACTTTAATAAATGGCTTCCTCAAATAACTACAGGAACATCCAAAATGACTTTTGTTTCCCTCAATAAAAACAAGAGCAAGTTTTATCATAAGAAGTTTTAGTGTTAACAATCATCATCAATCGAGAAGGAAATCAATAAATGTGGCTGCAATAAAAAATTTGTGTTTATTACAATTTTTTATCATGCACTACGATTTATTACAATTAATTACATAAATACAGAAATGATAATATATACTTAAAAAAATATTGCAGTTATTTACCAATACAGTCAAAAGTCGTTAATTCGGACACCTATAATCCGGAATGATCTATAATCCGGACCTCAAAGCTTCAAACTTTCTGCACATGCGTCGCATTAACGCATGTGCATAGGCGTTTGCGTGTGCGCGTATGGCCTTTATGGCTGAGAATATGCTCGTGCGTGTGCGCAAAATACATTTATGAGTGCACGTTTAATGTATAACGGACGGTATAAGCTAAGCTAAAATTATTTAATTATCTATTTCAGTTAATGTTGCAGATTGCATTGTTCCTTAATCTTCGAATTGGATCCGGCTTATTATTTTTTGCAGACTGTTAGAGCAATTTGATAAAAATAAGCTTGAACTTTCGATTATGTCAAATAGAATTTCTGATATATATTTATTAATATGTAAAAGATCTACAAAGCGAAAGTATGTTTCGAAGTTCATTAAACAAATAGTGGAATTGCTACAAAAATTGGATAAAGGCATATCCTTTGTTTATCTAAACCTTGGTTATCTTTAACGCTGCGGCGCAGCGCAATGAATTGGAAGTTGATCTGTCAGCACTATCCTTATCTTCAGGGCAGATGTTTTTATTTTATCTGGCTTATAATTCCTTATTAAATGTAGTATTTCATATCGATTACGATAGCGAAGAAAGTGACAGAGGTTATTGAAAACGAAAAAATTTCAATTGACAAATTAGTCGGTATTCTCGACACAGCAATTATAGGATTTGAACAGCGGAACTTTGTAACTGAACAAGAAATTATGTCTGTTTAAAGAATTAAAGAGAATGTATTATCACATAAAAAAAGAAGCAACTTAAACAACTTACATTGAAAGAAATGTTTAATAAAGTAAACAAATAAATATTAAGCTTTTTTTTTTTTCTTTCTTTCTTTTTTGTAAATTTTGATACCCTTTAGATCATAATTGTTCTTTATTTCATAAATTACGGTTTCATATTTTTAATTTTATAATTTCTGCATGCCATCTTACCAGATTTAAACTGATGATCTATAATCCGGAAAAATTGATAATCCGGAATCGCCGAAGTCCCGACGAGTCCAGATTAACGACTTTGGACTGTAGTTATATTTAGAAGTGAATGTAGTATTAACAGTATATATTTGTGAATTTAACAATATGCACACAACTGATGACCAATAATTAAATACTCTAACAAATTTAAAGAGACATGATAGAAAACAATAAATATTTTTTAGATAGATATTTACTAACAACAATGCTACAGTGGAATCTTGAGATACGAGCACCTCTATATGTGAGAATTTAGAGATATGAGGAAAGTATGAGCAAAAAATTAGTCTCTAAATATAGACCGACTCGTGTAACGAGACAGGTTGTTGGTATATGTGGTCCATTTCCTGATCTGGCTCGACTCCAGGAATCCCCTCGTCAGATCACTCAGTGTCCTTTGACCTGCAAGTTTGCGTGCTTGTAAGTTAATTGCTTTTTACATTTAATATGAAATTAATTATTTGCAATGCCTCCCAAGAAAAGTGTTGTCTCAGATAGTGCTGCAAAGAAAAAGAAGGAAACAATGGCTGTTGAAAGTAAGAAAGGAATCACAGATAAACACAAATGTGGCATAAGAGTGATAGAATTGGCGAAGACTTATGGCTGTTCGACATCGATGATCTGCACTATTCTGAAGAAAAAGGATGAAATTAAGAAACTTGATGTGGCCGAAGGATTTACTGTTACACACAAGCACCATCCAAAACTCCTAGAAAATGTTCTGAAGCTTTTTTGTTGGTGTGGATTAATGAGAAGTGGTTAAAAGGGAATTTGGTGTCAGAAACTATTTTTGCTTTAGAATCTGTACTTGAACCTTCTATGAAAAATACCAGGTATTATTTACCAGTGTTATTTATTAGGAAAATTGATTTACATGTTGATAATTTTGGGGGTGTGGAACAGATTAACTGGATTTCCATTATTTTCAAAGGGGAAGTTTGTTTCTGTTGTACAAGACATTCGCTATACAAGCTCAATGCTGGAACAAATTAAGCTTGTATCTCAAGGTTTCACTGTATTTACTATAAAAAATAAATGAAAAAATTTTATTACTAGTTCCTCCTGTTGTTCCAAACAAAGGTTTTGCTTGAGTGGTGCTACCAAATGAAAAGCCAGAAGTCGATGCTGCTGGAGTTCCAAAGAGATTCGGTTGCTGAGTAGGTGTACCAAAACCCATGGCTGTAGCAGTACCACCTTTCCGGTTTGCAGCATAATCTTCAACTCTCAACTCCTGTGTTAAAATAACAGAAGTATTATAAATTGAAAGAAAGAATAGCAGAAGCACATTATAAGAATTAAATTTCCTCAAATGTTTGATTAAATTAAACAAAAATAATAATATGGAAGATAAGATAAAACATTTGCATTACAACAAACATGCTATTGCTTGCTTAAAAAAAAAGGGCACTTGTCTTCTGCAGCGGCCTTGGTGAGGAAAACTGAGAACTTATTTCACGTATTCATACCATATTTCATACAATTATATAAGCAGTTTATTAATTGCAATTACTAAAAACCAGTTAGATCATTAATCATTTGTTTCTCACACATACACATATTAGTAATTGTTTGTTTCTTGCACATGCACAAATTGGTAAATGTTTTGTTTTGCAAAGGACATTACAGAAGACAAGTACCAAAATAAGCCTATAACCTCGATTTTTTTAGCCCTAATGGACTACAATTCCAGTTAGTCCAAATGTATGAAAATCTATGGTACATATGTAACCAAGCATTTAATATTTACCTCAGCTATAATTCCTCAAAACAACTGAATATCCAATCCTGCTGACACTTCGACTAAATGTCGAAATCTGATTTCCATCAGATTTCGACATTTACTTAAAAATTTAATTTTAAGCAGGAGATACAAAAACTGAAATGATATTTCAGTATAACATTGTATACCTGAAAGTTAGGCTGCTATCACATATGATATTTGTTGCCGAAACATGATGTTAGAGGTTATGTTTCAGCAAATATTGTTGGTTACCATCTTCACTTGGTAAACAGGCTGAAAGCCAAACAAGAATCAGTTATCGCTCAGATTGGCAAAAGTGACATCTTTCTTTCATGCGACGATTGCTTTTCCGTGTTGTATTTTGTGTCGCTCATACTCTAATGGCTATTGAGTAAATCACTTTTATTTTGACTCTGGCAATTCTAAAAGCTAAAGAGAAAAATGTGCAAAGAGAAGTCCTGTTCTTTGTAATGATCTATTGTATATATTTGATTTTATTATTGTAAATAATTATTTTTGTATCCATATATTTATTTAATAACTTTTATGTGCATGATATAATGCCATTTACTGATGTGTGTTTTGTGATGAGTCAAAAATTTTTATTTTATCCCCAAAATGTTAAATATTTCATAAAGGCTACTTGCTCAGTTTTGTTTAAATTCCCAAGTATAGTTACAAATGCAAAGGTTGTGTGTAAGTGTGTGAATTTTAATGACTAGCCTAATGCACAAAATGCACTTAAATTATTTTCAACTGTGTATTCCATATCCACGATAATGTGCAAAGAACTGATGACTGCAGTTGATAACAATTACATAATCTTTATATGAATTAGAAGTAACTTCAAATAAACTTTTTGGCGATGTTCAATTTTGCATTCATATATATATATATATATATATATACACACACACAATTTAATAAGTCATATATTTACCAACACATAGTGAGATATCCACGATAATGTGCAAAGAACTGATGACTGCAGTTGATAACAATTACATAATCTTTATATGAATTAGAAGTAACTTCAAATAAACTTTTTGGCGATGTTCAATTTTGCATTCATATATATATATATATACACACACAATTTAATAAGTCATATATTTACCAACACATAGTGAGAGAGATGCGATGGTTTAGAAGTTGTTGATATATGTTTATTATTAGTATTAATAATGATTTTTATTAATGAATATATTACAAATGTTTTTCATCATTCATAATAATAAATTCATAAATTTCCAATGTTTCAAAATGTAGCATTTATAATAAAAATATTCTTAATGCGTTTATAATCTAAAAAGCATTTCATTAATAACGTGAAAATAATAGCATACAAATTTAACGTGTATCCTCATTATTAAGTAATCTATGTTTTAATAAATATATAAAATAGCTGACTTTAACATAATCGTTGATTATGCAATGATGATTATTGAATTTAAAAGTAATGAAAGTAATTAGCAGAAAAGTAAAGTCGCACATATACAAACATATTTTAAAAAATTATTCCCCTTAATTAAAAAAATTAATTATATAACAATAACATTCTTTTCACACAATCAGCCCGAAATACGACAAATTTGGCGACGAATAATTTTTAAACAAATCATCAAAAATAACATGTCATAAAATATTGTCTACTCTGAAATTTCCACGATTATAAATTTAATGAGTATATAAACATTTAAATATGACTTAGTCACACTACTACAAAACAGCAATATATATATATATATATACGGCTTTTGCCATATTTCTTCAATTAAATCAGCATCTATTTCCACCGTCCATATTAAAAATTACCCGTGATACTTCAGAAGCAGAACTTTTATCTAATTGGTTGAACGTACGCAGAACACGTCTCCAGACGGAACATTTAAGGGAAGTTCAAAATGTTGCTCATAACCGTGACATGTTGCGCCTATCTAGACAAAACATTTCTCGGAAGCTCATTGTGTAAACCAGTGCTACTAGAATTTTGTTTCTCGGAAATGTCCCACCAAGCCATGCGTGTCGATGGAAATGATAAGGGTTTAACAATGTCATTTTACATTGAAAGGGGAGGGGAAACTTTTACAAGTTCAGTCAATGGTGGATAAAAAGCTATAAATTTATATTATACATAAAGTAAATATGCAATTTAATAGAACACTCAACAACAATGCAACATAAACTTATCCTGACATAAAGCAAGTTTAAAAGAAGTTTACCAGAATTGTAGTTTGTGAATTTTTGTAACTTAAAAACAATATATAAATGTCTTATATCAAATATGTGCTGCCAAAGTATCACAAAGATTCTGCAAAAAACTTGCACTATAATTAAACAAAAATTAATATCTCAATTTTGATTTAAAATTAAAATGACTGATTACTAACACACTTACTCCTTGTTTAAACTAGATTATGGATTAACCAGAACCACCCCCTTTTTTAAAGGTTTATTGAAAAGCAAAGGAAAAATTACTTTAAACTGAACAACAAAAAGTTCTAACTGACTTTTCTATGTGAGCTTGAAATCAGTGATATTGCTAAGATTTCTTGCAAATACTGCTCTTTGATGCAAATTCTAATTCAGTTTCTACATTTCTAATGATGCTTTTTCTTTCTTGAAAAAGTTCTTGAAATACACCTAAATTGTTTTTAATTTTTTTCTGTTAATTATTATGTGGATTATTCCTTGGTTTTTTAACTATACTCAAATTAATCACAATTTTATGTTAGCCACAAACATCACCCTCAGTATTCCATTGATTAATTCAGAGTTTTTTACATTATTTTTGGCAACAGTCAACAGATATAACTTGAATTTATCTCATACGAAATAGCAAATCTTTTTAAAACAACTTAAATGACGTAAAATATAAAAGGAGGGGGAAATCCTACTTCTAAACTTTTATTTTCATATTCTTTCATACAAGTGATGCATTGGTGTCGAGTACCAATGCTAGTTGAAACACCTCCTTTCATCATGGTATCAGTTCCTGTTGGAGGATTAAACTTTATCGTAGTTCCTGTTTGTGCAGCACTAGTAAATCCACCTAAAAATTTAAAAATATAATATGTAAATGAACACCTCAACATTACAGAAAAAAAATAATAATAATGCTAATTAATTAACTGGCCATGTTAAATGAATTCTATTTGAATTTTTGTAATTACTTAAAATAAATTTTAACGTTTCTGATAAGACATATTGAAGCTAAATTGGCACTGTTCTTTTTGAATAAAAATATAAGACTGATTATTAAATAAATTAGGGCATTAAACAAAATCCTTCACATGTAATTATTTGTTACTTTTCAATAAACATTATTTAATTAATGCAACACTTGATTAATTTAAACTGAAAGAGAAACATAAAAATGTAAAATTTAAAATTAGCCCCCCCCAAAAGAAAACTTAGTTTGATGTAGATTTTGAACTAAACTCTGTTATTTAAAGCGCAGTTAGATGTAATAGAGGGACCGGAAAGTAATGTCGCATTCTTACATATTCAAACGAATACATTTGTAATAAGTTTTTATTTTTAATCAATAATATAATAACCTTCGTTATCAGCAACCTTTTGCCATCTAGTATGCCGATTTCAATCCCAGACTGATAAAAATCAATTGGTTTTTGAGTAAAATATCTTGAGATGGCATTTTGGACATCATCCAAATTTTCAAATTTTTTGTCACTAAGAAAATGTTGTAGGGATCAGAATAAATGGAAATCCGAGGGTACGATATCGGGCGAATATGGTGGGTGAGGCAATACCTCCCACCTCAATTCATTATATTTTTCCAGTGTTCGTCTTGCACAGTGCGATTTTGCATTGTCATGTTGCAGAATGACGCCTTTTCCATTGACAATCGCCAAATATTTTTCGATTAAAGATTGGTTCACTAGATCCAATTGTTCACAATAAAAGTCTACATTAACAGTTTTTCCAGTTTTCAGCAATTCAAAATTAACAATTCTGCGAATACTCCATCAAACACCCAGAAGCGCCTTTTCGGGATGTAAACCCTTTGTAACCCCTATTAAAACTTCCTTTTGAGTTTTAGATTATCATATAGGACTTATTTTTTTATCTCCACTAATCAAATGATCAAAAAACGGCTCTGCATGGTGCCGTTGAAGCGATGCATTGCATGTGATGGATGCTTGTCTTTGTTATTTTCGGACAGATTATGGGGGGACTCTCTGCTTTAAATGTATCTTGGATGGTCGACCAAGGTTGGTTAAGAGTGTTTGACATCGATTTGCTTCCACGTCTGCCCTTAGCATGTTGTTGTCGACATGCGCAGAAACGCCATTACTTTCCGGTCACCCTATTACAAATGGTTGTGGATCATGAACGTGAAAACGCCTTTCAAAGGATATAGTATCCGAGATGAATTTCGGAGATCTATTTCTGATAAGCGTCATATAAATTCCGAGTTTCTAGAAAAATTTTTCCTTTGGCTCGATTACTGGAAAGACGATTTTTCAATAGGCACTCTTACAAAGGATACACCATTGGCTATCAGTCATACAACTCATGGTGTAATGGAGATGTCAAAATATTGCATTCATGAGGTCAAATTTAAGTACTTTCTTCCAGGAAAAATTCAAACTGATGCCCTGGAAGCCAGATTTGGGAAATACAGGTCTTTAGCCGGATCGCAATATTTAGTTATCTGTACGACAAGTCTATGAAGCAGAAACAAAATTACGTCTCCAGATCTTCCTACCCCTTACTCTCAATTCGAGCACATATAAAAAATAAAAATTAGCAGCACTGATAACTGAATCGAAGTTGATGAAATTGAAGAAGAGTTTACAGAATTTGACATAAGTATTATAGAAAAGGATTTTGAAAATGCTGAAACTTTTTTACCAGTATTAACATACCTGTCAGGTTATTGTGCAAGAGCTGCTCTAAAAAAACTTAAATGCAATTCCTGTTTTAAACTTTTAGTTACAGATAAAGTATTGGAAAATAATCAAAATTATTCCTTAATTAAAAATATGAGCCGAGGAGGTTTGTTATGCCCTCGAGCGGATGTTGTTACTGTAATTATGTATAATTACGTAACAGTTCAAAAACTTCTATCAGTGAACAATGAACAAAAATTTTTAAAAAGCAAAATTCAGAGACAAATAACAGTCAAATCAACTTTACAAAATTTGAAAGACTGTGATTATTTATGGCATGTGAAGTTCATTCGGCTGATTGATAATAAAAATATTTATAATGACGGCAAAAAATCTTTATTAAATAATTATTGAAAAAATGAATAAGCAAAGACTGTATACAAACTGTTCAAAACAAAATTTGAATTTTTACCTACAGAATGCATGCATTTCTATATATCTGCACGTATCAAAATTCACGAAATTCTGAGTTTCATTTTTTTATATCAATATTCATTATATATTCCCCGGTTACATGTATAGTGCAATATCATGCAACTTTTATATGTGTATTAATTTTTTTTTAATACGTTTTAAGTTTTAATTTAATTACTTCATATATACACTCTTAAACAAACAACTACAACAACAAAAAAAAAAAAAAAAAAAGACGCACCAGGACGCGATAAGAAACTATAAAGCAAATTGGACACAAATTGATATGCATGCAGGTTTCGACGAAAATGTACCCACCCTAATTCATTATATTTTTCCAGTGTTTGTCTTCCGTTGTCGTGTTGCAGAATTACGTGTTTTCCGTTGATAATTGCCAGATATTTTTCGATTAAAGATTGGTTCACTAGATCCAATACTTCACAATAAAGGTCTACATTAACAGTTTTTCCAGGTTTCAGCAATTCAAAATTAACAATTCCGCGAATACTCCATCAAATACCCAGAAATGCCTTTTCGAGATGTAAACCCTTTGTACCCTTATTAAAACTGCCTTTTGGACTTTTGGATAATATGACTTATTTTTTTGTCTAAAAATCAAAAGGGTTCTGTATTGCCGTATATGTTGTGTGATTTTTTGTTCTTTTCCAGTTCATAGCCCTTTAAGCACCTATAAGCACTTTTTAAGAAAAAAATAAGCACGCCTAATAATCATAACAACTGCATAACCTTAAAAATTAGACTTGTAATTTAAAATATAAGAAATTATTAAGAGAGAATAAGCATTACCTCACCATGGAAAAAAATTACTTTTTTTTTTTTGTTTAGTTTTTAATTTTAAATAATAGTTCAATTTACAGAACTAGTTTACAATGAGAGGGGGAAAAAAAAAAAAACTATGAAGAACTAAACTATATTGCAAGATTTAATGATGAAATTTCATTTCAAAATAGAGAAAATAAATAATAATAAGGCATATTTATTGTATATGCTTGGAACCTAATAATAAATACAATTTATTTTTCCACTCATATTGATATTTAAATAATTTAAATCTAAATTCTGAACATTTTCTAAATTTTCATTGTATATCAGTTTTCTCTTAACAGATATTGCAAGCAAAGTAGGAATAGAATCATTCTTCGCTTGGGTTGGTAGACTGCAGAACTTTTAGTCCTATTCAATCCAGATTGAAAAGTGACAAAAAAAAAAAAAAAAAAAAGTCCGTTATTTGTTTTCAGCAAAATGTAACAGTTTCAATATTCAAGATTTTGCGGAGAAAGGGAAGACCTCTCAACCTTCGTACTGTATAATGTATTGGCCAAAAAAAATGAAATTATTTTAACTATTTGATTACTTTCCTTTTATTTAAGCCATTCCGAATATTATTCCTTAAAAAGCTAATCTGTGTTAAAACAAACCATTTTTGGAAGTTTACTATACTTCAGCAGTTACTGCAACTATGTTATTATAATCATTCATACATATACTCATAATATAAGCATAACGATCATAATAAACATGAATATGAACTGACCAAGCAGAACGAGAATGCAAATTTTTATTTGGGTGGGAGGAAAAGAATGCCGAATGTACCAGAATTTTGTACTGCGTTCGCAATTCTTTGACCAATAAAACGACGGGCACCTGTCTGTACTCTTCGTGCACACCAAAGGTTATCTTAATGCAGAGAAAGGGGGAAAAGCTATTTCCGGGAGTATGATTCACCATCTGACATTCCATATTGGGAAGAAAAGTTGTTTATTTAATTGCACTAAAAACAAAAAAATAAGGGCTTTAAAGAAAAAGTAAGCACCTATAAGGGCCTTTATATTTTATTTTCAAATATAAGGACTTATAAGGACCACTATGAACCCTGTTTTCGGACAGATTATGGGAGACTTAAACACCTGCTTTGCTTATTTTTACATTCTGCTTTAAATGTTCTTGGATGGTTGACCAAGGTTGGTTATGAGTGTATGACATGGATTTGCTTCCACTTCTGCCCTTAGCATGCTGTTGTCGACATCCCCAGAAACGATATTACTTTCCAGTCCCCCTATTAGAGGTCTTTCTTCTTCAAGCGTATAAATTTTTTTTTGCTCTTGAAGAAGGACCTAGATATGTTCCCCCTTAAAATTTATACGGTTTTATTAAAAATCTGTCTTTTGCTCCTGAAGAAGAGGAACCTTGGCCAGATTGCCCTTCACTTGGATAGTCTTATTCAAAATTTATGCTAAATAAAAATTGTATTTTTGGTTAAATTAAAAAATTTTAACACTTCAAAAATAAAAAACATCACCAAATACCAGATCAAAATTGAATACATATGATTTGCTTCATATGTTAAAATGCAATTTGATTAAATAACTAGCATCATTAAGTTGAAAAATGTGATAGAGAAGTGGTTCCCAATGTCTTTTTATACTTGTAAAAGCTTCTTCCATAAATTATGCTTACATCAGCAGAACTTTTGTAACTTCAATGTAGAATAAAGTCTGAAATCCAGATATCCAGTAACTGGAATGATCTACTATCTGCATGTCACACACACACACACACACAAACAAAAAAAAAAAAAAAAAAAAAAAAAAATTTACATTTTCATTTTCTCACAGCATAGAAATGGCAAATAAAATAAAATAAAATAAAATAAATAAAAAACGAAAGGTTTCAAGATTTTAAATTACGTCCAAAAGGGGTT